GGGTGTGAGTTAGGTAATCCTGACCTGCATATGGAATATGCTTCCTCCTTGTTCACTTTTGTTCCTTGTTGGTTTGTGACTGGCTTTTTTTGACCCCAAATGAATTTCTTTGGAAGATTCATGAGAAAGTTACAGCAAGTTGTTTTGATAGAAAGAAAGAAGGAAAAGGTATGTTGTATCAGTCACAAGGATTGTGATCCTAAGCAAGCGAGACAAAGAAATTTGGAAAGTGATAGGAGATTGAATGAGAAAAGTTTTAAAGGCAGAGGTAGAGGATTTGGTCAAAGAGTCTAACTTTTGTAGAGGTAGCAACTTCAGCATTGGTTCTAATTGTGGATAGCAGGGTCACTGGAAAAAATGAGTGCCCAAACCACCCCCACAGATTCCTCAATACCAACCACAGCTTCCAACCTATACCCACACCCAACAACCCCAGCCTAATACACAGATGGTTCATGTTTTTAATATTTTATATAGTTTTAAGTGTTAATCCAAGAATATTGAATTATTCGGGATCATTAAAGTAATTCATTTTGAGTATCAAATCAAGGTTCAAGTTTAGGAACAGAGTTTCATTGGGAATTATCCACATATGTATATGTTAGTGTTTTAATATTCATCCTAACAAGCATTTCTATAGAGTGAGTGCTTCTCTCATCCGTACAAAGGCATTCCATGGATATTATGTAAAACTTCATAGAAGGTAGATTGCATAAAATATAAGCAAAGATAAGAGAAGTACATGCTACACAAGTTAAGGGTTTAACCTTAATCTCTCATTTAAGTTTTAGCCTAGGTAATTAATTAATTGATGTTGTATTGATCCTTGTGTTTGTATGATTGTAGAGACCGTCCTGGAGTGTTTGTGCCGCCTGATTTCTGGGACTACACACCAATCTCTCTGGCTGACCATGCAATAAGTATTTTGCAATTACATCTGTTTGGTCATAATCCATGCAGGCCGTAGAAACTAAGATACTTACTTATGAAGACTTATAAACTTTGCACGCAAGAACCTGGAAAGTCCTGAAGGTGCAGTGTGTCTAATACCGCTGGTTCTGTAATAACCTTTTCAACCATTGGGGTGTTGCACAAGAGCATTGTGGTGAAAATCCAGCAAACAAAAGAATAACTATGTGGAAGCTGACATTGTCTTGTTGTCAGCCATATTGCTACCCTTAGCCATTTTATGGAACAAAATGTCTGGTGTCTAAACTGATTTCTTTATACTCTGTGAAAGACTTATTCTATTTTTCTGAACTATGCTGAACTATTGAACTATTTTTATTTTTGTAGAGTTAGCCGGAGAGAGAGGAAGTGTTAGCTGACCCAGGGATGGATGTACTGTGTGTTTTTGATATATGTTGAGTGTGCCAAGGATAGATTCCAATGTTTTGAGGAACTGCGTGAGGATATGACTGGTTTTGACTGGACCTTTGGAATAGGGAAATGGTTAAAAGATATAGGACGCAAGGTCCTGGTTGTGACTATTGTCAGAATTTCAAGCTAGATTATAATTTATCTCATGAATTAATATGTAAGAAGTGTTTCCCAATTCCTCCCGATACCCGAGCTATGTACTCACAGGTGCGGGTATTATAAGTCACAAGTGGTGATCTGGTGGCCCCAGATCATCGCATACTTTGACTATATGCGCCCACTTCCGTGGACGAAGGAGGAAACAACTGTTGGGAATAATACACTTTGCCCATATTTACCCAGGGCTTATGATACAGATAACCGTCTGGTTAGTCTGTTTAAAATTGGTTGACATGTCAGCTATTTGCAATAATATATTTGCTATAAGCCCAGGTTCCATTTTGTCTGAAACATCCATTTTCTAGATATCTGTCTGCAAAAGTATTAAGTGTCTTTTTCTGCTGAGTAAAAACAAAAAGATAGAGTAAGCGCTTAATAACAAAATGAGGCAGCAGCCTTTAAAGGGAATCCCTCAGAACCCTTAAAATACAACAACAAAAAAACATAAGATAAAAGCTCCGCCAAATATAACCGATAGATAATAGATAGTTAGGTAGTACAAATATAAATATAAAAATCTTAGCTAAAATAGATATTCCTTAGATCAAATAGTCTGTGCTTTGCTTGATCAGAAGCAATGTTCTCGCTGTCCTTCCTCGGGGGATCCAATAATATGAAAAGATAAAACAGATAAAAGACCAAATAGTATAATATGTTCACTAGGGTACGACAAATGTTAGAAGAAGATGGTAATGCACTCACGTTTTTTAGAGCTATAGTTAGCTCTAGTATAGAAAGCGCGTACAGCGGTATAATCCCCGCTTATGGTATATGACGCAACCTTCTTTCTTCAAAGGTGTGTAGACCACTCAAAAAGAATAAAAGGAGACAACCAATAGTGCTCTCTGATTAAAAATGGTATAGAAATAAAATAAGTACTTAGAAGGATGGAGCAGACAGACTGCTCCTTGGTGATCGCGTAGGTGGAATAATCCCCACCGCGGATTGCTTGGAGTCCAGGATAAGGCTTAGATCTGCAAGAAAGGGCAGAAGCCTTGAGCCGCTGCCTGCAGGAACTCTGAAACAAAGGGAATGATGGAAAACAAACCTATACCATTCTATACCGTTTTTAATCAGAGAGCACTATTGGTTGTCTCCTTTTATTCTTTTTGAGTGGTCCACACACCTTTGAAGAAAGAAGTTTGCGATATATCCCATAAGCGGGGATTATACCGCTGTACGCTTTCCATGCATTACCATCTTCTTCTAACATTTGTTGTACCCTAGTGAACATATTACACTATTTGGTCTTTTATCTGTTTTATCTTTTGATATTATTGGGTCCCCCTGAGGAAGGACAGCGAGAACATTGCTCCTGATCACGCAAAGCACAGACTATTTGATATAAGGAATATCTATTTTAGCTAAGATTTTTATATTTATATTTGGACTACCTAACTATCTATTATCTATCGGATATTTTTGGCGCAGCTTTTATCTTTGTTTCTTTGTTTTTCTGCTGAGTGTCTGTTTATTGTAGACCACATGATTGCTTAGGAATGCCATAATGTGGAAGTTTCTCTGTCCTGGGAGAATGTTAACCGATAATATGAGCACGTTTTTGCTCAAAGAGGGGAATGTAAGGATATGAAATAGTTAAACTCTTTTTGCTTTATATGCTTTAAAATAATGTTTGAAATAATTATGCTGACTTTGGCAGATGTATTTTGTACCAAGGTCTTCCTTCTAGAGGATGTGCGACCTCGTTTGACCTCAGGATGTTCCTGTTCTGTCTTTATTCAAATGCTTATCTTCTACTGCCACAGAAGTATGTACTACTAACTATAAGGAAGCGATAAATCTCACTGCTTGCGTGTATAAATGCTAGCCCTGAAAATACACTCATTTGAGAATCTTGTTAAAGCACATGTCTTGTGTCTGTGTCTTATTGCTAACATGATGCTCCATCAATATTGATTATGGTGACCAGAAGAATCGAGGGGAGTTGAGTCCAGAACAGCATTAAAATTACAATATCATAGGATACAAGTGGTGTCAACTGTGAGGGGATGACATGTCTAACACGATCGCGGCCCCCACTCAGGTTTTCCCCATGAGAATGAGAATGAGAATTGTAGCCAGCAGCGAAAGAGTTAATTGAGTGTGATTTGACTGTCAGCCTGTTGATTTCAAACTGCATACTTGTTGATATAACTGTTGCTATTTAGCTGTCTGTAATAGTGTTAAACCACTGCCATATTGTATACTTATGTTATACCTAAATATTCACTGATGTTACACTAAATTATATTTTTATAATTAATTTGTGTCACAGTTCTCGCCGTGACATCCAGACATGGTCCCCCAGAAATGCCCAACAGTGGATTTGAACCCGAGGTCTTATGCATCCCAAGCCTGCATTCCTGCCTCTAAGCCACTATTCAGTTCCATCCAGGGGTTAAAAAGTTAGCTGTAGGTCCCTTTATGACCGACCGCAAGCACATTTTCCTGCCCAAAACAGTTCCATAGATTTGGGCTGTGCGGTCGGTCTATTTCAGGCTGAAAAAACAACTAAGTCCCATCTCCGAATCATCTGCAAAATCATTGTGGGAGAAGGTAGGGCTCATCGGTGTTCGCGGAAATGTGTAGCCGATTTTAGTTCCATGAATTTGGCTACACATACCGCTGACCTCGTGCGAATGAACAAAGATGGCCGCCGCCACATGTTCGCCAAACGAACAAAGACCACCCAGCATTGTCAATTAAGCTGCGGTTAACCGCAGCTTCTGGGAGGTAAATTGCCGACACACTCCCAATACAGGTGGTCCGCCCGTGTGGTACTTGGCTCAGTAAGCCCCATTTACTGAACCAAGTGGGAAATAGCTAGGCACAAAGGGTTTTAACCAGGTCTAGGGACACAGGGGACACTGTCTTAAAGGGGCAGTGTCCCAAACAAGTCTGGGGACACCGTCTTAAAGGGGCAGTGTCCCAATTTTCCCTATGCCCCAGTCCCATAAAACGTACATAAGCCCCAATATTCCCACCGACTGTCTTAAAGGGCCATACACACCCAATAAAAGTCCATAAGTTTTCACAATCTCCCAGGGGCCATAGTCTAAAGGCAGCAGGCGGGCAACCAGGCTTCTCCAGTGCATAGTGGCGAGGTTGGTTCCGCCACAATAAATATTTATAAATATATGAAAATTGATATTGACTATGAGGAATGGTTGAATGAGATAGAACAGGAGGCTAGTACGTCCATTCGAAAAGATTCACCCATAATAAGACATCTTAAATTAATTGGAGACCAAAGCAACATAAACAAAAAATAGGGTACATAATACACTCTTTTTCTTTATGTTAGGACATCTAAAGACATTAGAAGAAAACAAGGTACTGAATACCAGATTGAATACATGCAGAGACAATCTGGGCAATCGAAAATAGGAAATAGCAAGATTTACTTGCTGAGCATAACACCAGTCAGGCTGATCACAAAAAAAAGAACTGAAAGCTATGATGGATAAATGTGCACAGGAAATAAATCAGCTTAAAAAGCAATTGGAAGAATACGAAAAGGAGAGTAAAAAATCAGACAGTGAGGTTAGTAGTCATCACTGTGCACTAAGAAGTTGCACAAAAATACAAGAAAGGGCTACCTGTAAATCCCCTCCTTATTATGATTTTTCCACACCAGACCAGGTTTTCCCAAAAACCAGTCTGAAAGGAAAGATGTGAGCAAATCTGAGAAAACACCTGTGGAACACGGTTCCTCATCTCATGATATTGATAACAATGACAATCTTGGGCAGAACTGTTTGAAAAGACTGTCTTGGCCAAGTGTGAGGAAAGGAATACGGTTCAGGGTGATATGAGTGAAAGCAGACATGGATATGTACACTGGCAGAACTCTGATGCTGATCAGAATTGGGATAGTGAATGAGAAGCTCAGAGTGATGGGAGTGAAAGTGATTGCACTGTCCACTCTGAAGGCCATGTGACTGCTATGCCATCTGCACTGTTATGCGGATATACTCCCTATTCAGCAGCTAGATCACACAGGTGTTTACCTAAAAGCAGGGAAACTAGAAACAAGAGCCATAAACCAATTACTCCTGTCTATGTGTCAGGATTACAGTATGATCCAGCACGTAGAATTGTGTAACACAGGAGACAGGTAATGTATGCCAGACCTTAGAATGGCCGGACTAACGTACCAAAGAATAGTCAGGAATAGCCGAAGTCAGGGGAACCAGTAAGGAACACAATGATAAAGGAACACCAGAGGTCAGGGAAGTCAAAAACAATGCCAAAGTCAAATTACCAGAATAACCAGAATAAATGACGCGCTCTCGGACAACCACTAGGGAAACCACGACAGGGCACTGAGCAGGATGAGAACTGGGCCTAAATACCTCTCCTCTGGATCTGATAGGTTGTAACCGGCCTTTGACCCCAAAGGCAGTTACCAGGTTTCCATTTGCATAATTGCTGCTCAGCACAAATCCTCCTGTGTATTTGATTGCTGCTCTGCACAACTTTTCCTGTCAGAACAGTAAATGCCATTACCCATATTTTTATGTGCGGATGGATATGTGACACTATGCAACTCCTAAAATAATCAGATTCTTTTAAGAGAGACAGTCCCACAATTTTCTTGAAGTTCAGGAAACATATCTAGGCACCTGGAAAATTATGAAAATGCCATGAATTCATTGGGCATGTATGATGACATCCATAAGAAATGGTACATTACATGGACCTTTGATTCAATGTGCCACATTCATCTGGAGAGTCTTCAAGCAATGCAAGCTAATGTCCTGGTCAAAGATGAAATCTGAGATAATCATGAAATATGGTAAGTATAAAACTACTGCTTCTGCTAGGAAAGCGCTTTATAACTTAAAGTGCCATCCAGATCAAAGCCCCAGAGAATTTTTAATAATTCTTAAAAATGCATTGTGACAGACCCATCTGTCTGGATTAAAAGTACTGTGTTCGTCTGTTTTGCCGGTTACATGAATTTCCCCATTCGTATGCTTTGTTTAAGGGAATGTCGGTTTTTGTCGAACGAAACTACCGAACGGACGGCCACCCAGAAGAGAAGTGTGCTGCTGGTTAACCTATTGATCCCAATTAGAACGTTGCGGTTAACCACAGACACTTCTCAATTAAAACCGAATGCCGGGTGGTCGTCGTTCGTATGTCGACGATTATTTCATGGATCTGAAAACGGACACTTTTTCAACCGAACACCGCTGAAGCCGCCGACCTCCCCTGCTCAATCGACAAAAGCATACGAATGCCGGCCGTTCGGGAGATTCAACAACACGAATGGACTTAACCCAGATAGCCGTCCCATGGAGTCAACCGCATACCGAAGAACTGTAATAGACTTTGACTCCATGGCGATTGAACTATGCGAATGGGATCTGAGCGCTATTCGCCAATAATATGCACTCAGATCCAGGCTATCTGGGGATGTGTTACACGAATGCAATATGTTCGGCAGTTATAAAGTTATAGATTTTTATGTGTTTTGTGACTTGTATTTAAAATGGCAATTTGCCTCTGCTCGGGGAGATAATTGAATTACTTCCCAATTATCCCCCGAGCAGAGGGGAGGGAACTGTGATGCATGATGGGAATATTGTGGGGATGTGTGTCCAAAATGTCCCCATGTCTTTCTGTAATTCCAGTCTCCCATTTGGTCCCCTAGGGGAGTGTCCACCAAGTGGTAGACCTGCATAAATACCGGGCAGGTAGCCCACAGTAAATCAGTTCGTGTTTTACCCTCAAAGCGGAGCTTGGTCTCGTTATTGGGGGGATTTTATTACCAGCGACTAGAGACTGCTTATTTGGATTATTTGCCGCTTGGAAGATATTGGCGTTCGGTTACTATTGTCAGTTCGTGGATTTGGAGCTCGTGAAGGGAAAGAGCCGTACAGGTACCGTTCGGGAGTTTGGAGTGTTCCCTAGCTGGCGGTTCGCATGGTTTTACTATACCCGCTACCAGACCACATTATTGCGAACGGGGAGCATTCGCTAAACGGCGGTTTGTGCATTTTATTACTGGAGGTACCGTAACATGCATATTCCGTAGCCCAAAGGAAACCCAGGTTTGAAAGTACAGAATTCAAAGATCTGTATTTTCATGCTATGCCGGTAAACATACAGATGAATCTCGCAAGAGATTATGATTGTAAGTTACTGTTAGAATGGCTAGTCAGTCAATGCATGAAATTGTATACTATACAGCATGCACATGAAGAAAACCATCAGAAGGTTAAGAAACCTGGTGATAAAATACAATATATATCATTACGGCATCTAAACTCCTACTAGTACGTAATTGGAAAACAGTGACAATTCCACACATCCAAGAATTAATCACTCAAGTTATATGGCAAGCGAAAATGGAAAGGGGTATACTGATGAACATAGGAAACAGATACACTCAGATAGTAGACTGGGACACATGGATACATAAATTGGAATCCATAATTCAATAACCGGCACAACGGTGTAAAAGTTTATATGGATCCCGAAAATCCCATGAAACGGACATATTAAAGGACATAACAATAAACCACCACACATAATAGTGCGTTCTCTCACTCCTAGAACAGGCAGTTAAAATAAATCAACAACCAATTATCTATAACAAGAAGCTAGACAAGGGTGGGGGGTGGAAGCTTTTGTTTTAGCTGAGTTTTGTAAAATGCAACTAAAAGCTTTGATCATTATCACACTGTTATCAAATAGATGACACCAAGTTGTGAAACCAGTCACATACACAGAAAGTTATATACAATATTGCAGTTTTACATATCAATTTCTTACAGACCCCACATAGAGGGCGAATGATTCAAAAAGAAAATGAGCCCTCTCAAATAAATACAGTATTTTGAGGCCCTGGGGAGATAGCGCAGCTAAGCGGACAGGGGCTTATGTATGTGTGTGGGGATAGATGCGTGTGATTGGTTGTGTAAGTTTGTGTGGGTGGGATTATGTGGTGTGTGAGTTTATTGGGGGTGGTCTTACCTCAGTGCCACTTGGGATTCGTGCCAGCAAACTTCCTGTCCTCCTGCTCCTATTTGTCTTGAGCCTGTAGGTTTACCAGCTCGAGGGATGGAGGTTGAGGCTGTTTTGGCTTCTCTCAGAGCTGCTGCAGCGTGCATGATGGCTGGCATCTCCACGCACCATGTGCTCTCATCACCCCAGGTATGGCTGCTGGTGTGGGTCTTCCCCCCCTCGATGACAACACACCACTGACCGCGTTCGACTAACAAAGATGGCCACCGCCACGTGTTCGACTGTACGAACGGCGGCCACCCAGCGGTCGGCAATTAACCTGCGGTTAACCACCAGCCTGGGAGGTAAATTGCCGGTACACTCCACTTGTGTGTGGTCCGCCTGATCGGTAAGCCCCATTTACCGAATCACATAGGTAAAAGCCATGGACAAAGTACTTCCACAGTCTGGGGACACAGTATTAAAGGGACATTGTTCCCAAAAGTCTCAATATGCCCATACAATGTTTTTAATGGGCCATACACCCCACGGTCATAGTCGTAAGGCAAGAGGCTGGCAATCAAGCTCCTCCAAAAGCCAGTGGCAAGGGGCAGTTTGTCACATGAAAACCCAGTGACAAAGGGCAGTTTGTCACAGCGGCTTTCCCGGCCTGCATCCATGGCGCGGCCTTCCCCAGCCCCCCGCCCCCGGGTTGGACCATGGGCCGGGGGTGGTGAACATCCCCGACGGCGTGTGGCCACCCAGCGGCCTTATTGCTCCCCCCCGCGGCTGCCGGGATGGCGGGCCTGTGTCCAGGGCCCCCTATGGTGAGTAGGCCTGGCAAGGCCGCGTGGGGTACCTCGGTACCGCCATTCAGGACCAGGGGGAGGACCTCAGGTGGGCCGGTAGCCTCCTCTGCTGGTGAGGTAGGCTCCCATGGGTCTCCCCTTCTGCCTCTTTCCCCACCCTCCTTTTACCCTTGGATCCATTGGGGGGACCCAGCTTGCTCTGGGGGGCCCCCTGGTGTCCCTTCTGCTCCTTCTGTTTTCTGCTCCCCCCTTCCCCCTTTCTTCTTTCCTTCCCTTGTTTGCTCCCTGTTCCGTCATGGTCCCCTCTGCCCTCCTCACCTTCCCCCCCGTTCTCTCTGTGTGTTCCTTCCCTCCTCTGGTCACTTACCTTGGCTGCCTCCTGGTGTGGAGCGTGGGCTTCTCTATTGCTCTTCTCACAGATCCTGGCTGCTGTTACTGGAACTGCACAGCAGGTGGCACCTGGAAAACATTTGAGGAGCACAGTGGACTCTGGTTTTTCATGTATATTTGCTTCACCTTCTGTGCTTGCTGTGCTGCGGTTGGAACGCCAGGCATTCACAGGTGTTTTTTAGGTTAGTCATTCAAGTCTCTTGTGGGGGGGTCCTCTAGGGTCTTTGTGAGTTTCGGGATCAGTGGGAGTGGGGGAAGGCAGTTCGTGGGAAGTCCATTAGGGTTAGTCGACTTGGGTCAGTTTGGTCCACGGCCCAACAAACAATGCCCTCTGCATGGTCCTCGGGGCCTGCTGAATGTGGTGGTGGTCCATTGACCCCCCCCCTTCTGTTTGTCTGTGGCATCTTGCTCCATTGCTAGGGCAGGTGGAGCTTCCCATGAGGCGACGTGTCGGACGTGGCGCTGGTAAGTAAATAGGGATAGGATTTGGTTAGGGGGTTCATGCAAATATTATTCCCTCCTGCCACCCCTCTCCCCCATTGGTCAGACAGGTCAGTATGGTGTTTG